CGTTTTTGTTTTAAGATGCTTAAGGTGGTGAGTTACTTGTAAAACAAACAATTGATGCACAACTTTAGGAAAATGTATTTGATCTTGAGAAATGTTTTTGATTACCTCTTTGAGGATAAGCGCATTACGAGCATCTTGATGATTCCATAGTCTAGTTTTCCCAAAATTGTTTTCTACTGATGATGAACCAATTTCCTTTCCCATTGTACACACGAGATTATTCATCTCTATTCTCCCTGCAGAGATACTTATCAAGAACTTGTCGGCGAGTTCTATAACTTCTCTCGCAGCTTCACCTGACTTTGTGTCATACGAGTCAAGTAAAACTCTTACATAATCCTCTTCCTCTGATCTGAAGAAACACGCAATGTCGAGAAATGCATGTTTCTGTTGCTCTGTTAGTTCGTCGTAGCTGCTTCTTAGTCCTCTTCTGATATTCTCATTGCAAAAATGTGGCAGAGTTTCTAGTCTTTTTTTCCATTGATCTTCATTTTTCTCGAAAAGCTCCTTCCCTAGTTCCTCGAGAGCTCGTGGATTGCCTCCAGCATAATGCACAAACCTTTTGGACATCTCATCAAAATTCTTTGTGGGAGTATACTCTTGATCGCTGAAGGCATGATGGTTAAAGAGCTCTAAAGCATCTTTGTCGTTCAATCCAGGGACCACATAAGTTTCGTCAACTAGTCCTTCGATCAATCCCTTGTCACGCGTTGTTATCACAATCTTGCTTCCTTTTTTAATAACAAGTTCAGAGTTTGTCCGTAGAAACTCTAGCTGATTCTTGTCACTCACGTCATCTAGAACAATGAAAACCTTGACCATTTCATTGTCTGGCCTGTTGAGTTGAGCATTCAAAAGATGATTCTTCACCCAATCATGGTCTCTTGACTTTTCGCGGAATCCCTTGAAAATCTCATTAACCACGAACCTATGGTTCCAAGTTTGAAGATGCATTTCCGCAAGAGTTGTTTTACCTATGCCAGGCATTCCAACAATGCCAACGATTTGAGTTTCTTCGCTATCGAAATCTAACTTTTCTTTCAATTGCTTAAGGCATTGTTGCATTCCATAGCGTTGGAGAGGTGCTTTAGGCTGTTTAGTATCTCTAGAGGAAGCATTTCCACTAGAACTAAGAGAGGAGATATTTGTAGAGAGCATGTTTGTTCCTTTTCCTCCTCCTTCGATCAAAGCTATAACTTCCTTTACACTCTCAACGATCGCGGCGATGAAATCACTCTCGTACCTGCGTGAGGAAAATTAACGAGATCATCAAGTTTGAGAAAGAAAAAATGATGGGGAATGTCTTATTCTTCTTTCTTCTTCAAAATGTTTACTATTGTTTATCAAAATAATGACTATTTCAAAGAATTATTAAAAAATCATTTAGATTTTTCACTATATTCCTCATTCGATGAAGAATTATAAAGCAAAAACGACATAAGTAGTTTTCACAATATATGATTTTTAGTATTTTTATTATATATTTTTGAAAATAAATTTTTGGTAAGAATTTTCGTGTTAATTGATGTTATGACTTTATCTTAAACTAATCTTGAGAGTTAAATAAACTTTTTTTTTTTAGGATCAAACGAGTGTTAAATAAACTTAAGAGATGTTTTCTAGCGATTTTCATATTAAAATAAGTTTTTAACTAATATATTCAAATGGCCACTAAAGCTTTATATAAAAAAAAAATATTTATAAC